GGAAGGAAGCCTGCTCCAAGCTGCTACTTGAGACCGAACCAAAGATTCACCTTCAGACAGTGGAACTCAACACACAAGCAGAACTGGAATGGAGTGGTTTAATTCATAGCATATGGTCCAGTCAAAGACCAGACCTAATTCCAAATTAGCTGCAAGTCTTGACAATTGCTGTCTATACAGTCTGACTGAGCTTCAGCTAATTTACAGAGAAGAAATGGGCAAAAGATTGTAGCTTTAATATACAAAGCTGGTAGAGGTACACAAGGTACTGTGTTACAGACGGCTGGATTTAAATAGTCTTGTCATGTTTTTAATTGGAAAATACTATCCTTAGTCTTCAAAATTATGCCTTATGTCAGTTTGTCTGATAAAATCCCAATAGAATACTGTGAAATTTGTGGTAGTTAAAGTAGTAACAAGTTCAAGGACTGTGCATGTGTAGTTTCCCATAGGAATACCTGGAAAAGAATTTGAACAGGAACATTCTCCTCTCACTTAAAAACAAGTGCCCTTGAGCAAGTCGACTAACCCAAAGCTCCTCTGCAGAAATTGGAGGACCTCTGATCTAAATCAGGAAGCTTGTGTGTGGACATGCCATGTTTTCCTTCACCTGTTTTTCCCTCCCTCAGGATGTTGTAAAGATGCTTAGCCTGTCCACTCGCATCACACAGCAAGCGTCTCATTACAAAACGCCTCTTCATATGACATGACACAGAGGTGCGCAGCAGAACATGCCGGTTGATGTTGGAGCCTCAGATGCTCTGTGATTAGTGTCACAGGAAAGGAATGCCACGGTGCGTCGAGGTAATCTCTGTGAAATCTCAATTAGGGGGCGTGGCCGGTGGGAGGCGGTTGGCATGTTACAGCTGTGCACAGCTGTCTCCATCAATCAAGCCTCTGTTTTAGTTGCTGAGAATCCTTTATCTGAATAGCTGCCTGAGGTTTTTAAGAGAGAGGTGATAATACAATTATAAAAGGCTGAAGATGATGTTGGAAGGAGAGGTAAGGATCAGCAGAACACAATTTAATACAATACTGTGTTAATTCACAATTTATTTTTGATTAATTTAGGGTTTAAATTGAACCTCCTCCTAGTGTGATGGATCATATTTAAATTGGTTTCTTGCTCAGTTGTCTTTTAGGTGTTGATGCAGAACTGGTCCAACAACTGAATGTTGCAGAGCTCAGAGTTGGCCTAACAAAAAAGGTTACTCTTAAAATGATCAGCTACTTCACTGAATGGGGGAAAAAGAGCCCACAGTTCGGAGAAAATGGGTCTAAAGATCTTTAGAAAGCCTCAAACTGTGGATCAGGATTAGTGTATTTGATCTGGCTCCATGGATTTAACATTTACAGAAAGTAGGAATGTCTCCAAATTCTGTCCAGAATTGATTGTGTGTGTGAAACTTCACATTGCTTTTTAACCACAGAACTTTGTACTAATGCTACTTAAGTTGTTTAAAAAATGATTTACAGTGTAGATTGTGCTCTTTTCTTTTTTTTTTTTTTTTACCGGTAGCACAGTTAACTGATCTCATCAGGCTATTGAGTTTCTCTTTTCCTGCCTGTTTTCTATTCAATAGCTCTGTGTTACAGTTCTGGACGGCCTCATGGGAACGTTGCTGCATGTAAATGTTGGTTAAATCATGGTTTCATCTTTTCCTCTATTTTTCTGACTAAAGACTTTTATGGAAGAATTCATGCCATTCTCCACCTCTGACCATGAACACCAAAATCAAGGTTTATACATTTTTTGTTTTATTTTTCTTTAGGACTATTATTTTAAAAGGACCTGTAAAAATCATCTTTCAATGCAATGAAGGACTTTATGAATTTCTAATTAGAATGGCTTTAGCTGATTGCATCCTCTTCCGAAAAGATGCAGCATTTGGATAATACACAAAATATTTCGTATTTTTGGTATATTTAGAAGTGACAGTTATTGTGAAGGGGACATTTTTCAAAAATACTTAAGTTCTTTTAATTATAATTCTAAAGGCTCCTTTTTAATTTGATGTTTCTTCAAGTTAAATTCAGCAGACAGGGTATTTAATACAAAGTATTTATTGTGATTGAAGACTGAGCCGATTATAAAAGATCAGTAATAATCATTTGTTTTTATTGTCTAGTTATTATAAGCAGGGGTATATAGAACATTTGTTTCATTAGTGTTGCTTCTAAAAACCTGAGCTGCCCGAAAAGTTGGTGAGTTCGTATTAAGTCCAGAGAAAAAATGTTTCAAAGGTTAAGAGGTTGAACCTCAATGAGGTCAAACTGTTGGACCTTTAATGAACAAACTCCAGAACAGGAAGCTCTGCAGTGAGCTCTATATAATCCTGTTTGGCACAGCCGCTGCAGGACTCTTGGTAATCACAACAGCAATGACACTGAGCCAACAATGTCACCCTGACAGGCTGATGGAAGAAATGGAAAGTTTATAACCCCACTGATTATTATCAGATAACCTTTACAGTTGGCGATGTTGCTCATTTTCCAACCTCAGTTTGGTTTTTCAGCACTGAAGTAATGAGCTGGAGAAGGAAAAATTGTGAGGGTAGAAGAAAACCACATTTTCAGTCTTACTTTTGGGTTATACCCTTTTACATCCTGGGTGTCACCATCAGGTGTTAGCAAGCAGTTCTAATTCACCTCATTTACTTTTGGCACTCCTCTTCAGATCTCTGTTGGAGTCAGGGGGGGTGTGATTAATAGGAGAGATGGTTTGAAAGTCATCCTTCCCTCTCTGTTCTGCTCTGCGTCTATGAAGCTTTCTTTCTTTAACTCCAAGATCCTAGGGTGGTAGTTCAGGTACTACTTAAGATTGTTAGATGCTAATTAGCTGCTAAAACAATAGTTTGTCGATGCAATGGTTATGCATCACAACTGTCCGAAAGTTAAAAAGCAAAAATCCTTCCAACTGCACATCACCCAAAAACTGAGATTTGTCCAAAAATATAATGCCAAACGGCATAACAATTATAAACCAAAGTCTTAAAAAAGAATGAATCAGAACAAATGTGGCAGAGCCACTCCAACATGCTTCCACCATGAGTGACACAATTCTAGAGAACAAACGTTCCAAGATAAAATTAAAACAAAGCAGATTTTGTCCTACTGGGACTTTAACCAATACTAAGATCGAGCATTTGAAAACAAAACAAGTGTTGTGAAATGAATAATGGATATGTTTGGATAGTAGATGCTGTGCGTCTGTTTCTTCTCTAAAAGGCTCTGGAAAGACATTAGACTGATTTTGTCTCATACACCCCAAAACACAAGACCAACTTAAAATGAAATCTGTTGGATTCCACCAAAAAACTGAAATAAGGTCATTACTGGATCTTTCGTCAAAGTTGTTAATTTGGCTGGATTGCATTGTAGTTATGCACTGCTTTTCAGCTTAATACACAAAACAAGTACCATCTACTGATTATTATTCTTTTAACTGCAACCAAATTAACATTACTTTTGAAGGTTCACTGAGTTTTACTATTAGTGTAAAACTCAGTGAGTTTAACTAACAGATTACTCTCCTTAAACCTCAACTTAAAGAGAGTCGGCGCAAATCTAACAGAAAGTACACGTGTAATTGAATTTAAACTGAAGAATGCAATGCCTAATTTTCATTACTTCATTTCACAGTTTATTCTCCCCCTTTCTTAAATTCTCTAGTGTCTTTACGGTTGGGTGAGCTCTGTCTCAAACCTTTATCTGCTCCTCCTCTTCTTCACAGTTCACTAAATAGAAACGTAATGATTTCCAGTTGCTGTGTTCCCTTTCCTTCAGTAGCTCATGTCTTGTATGACTGAAAGCAGAAGGTGTGCATATGGCTGTCGAACCTGTTCTGAAACCTTAGCTCTTCAAACATGTGAGAGGTGGCTCATATAATTCAGTCATGCTGTCCGTTACTGTTAACAGATGTGTTTTTCTGATCTCTATTTAAGTGGAACTAGAGAATCCCTCAGAGGTGCTTAGCAGCGCTACGCTAGGATCTACGTTTTATGTTTTTCGTGGCATGATTCTTGGTGTCTCTTCCATGTTTGCTCGCTGATGCGTGTCTGAACGTCGTGGCTCTCCCTGCTGTAATTTCATGAAGTTCAACAACACCCACAAACCATATGTGAAAACGAATCTCAGACCTCAGCTAGACAGCCTGTGAATCCAGGCTCTCTGGGAGCTCATTACTGGACTCTTTGGGCTGGAAAATGTCCGTCAGTAAGGATTCATTAAAAGCCAGCAGAAGCGTCTGGTTGTGCTATAATGAGAGGTCCTTCAATATTAGGTTCCCCCAAGGGTTCAGATTAGACAGGTGAAGTATCACTGGAAATCTGGGTTACCAGTTAAGGTCATTAACTTTACATTGCTGATGTTTGCTGACTCGGTTACTGAGCATTTTGTGGCAAATTTCCTTGGGTCTGTTCGACTCCAGGCACAGAAATTCATTTAGGTCCATTTAGTTTCTTGCTGGTGAAACATTTTATTATAACATAACTGCTGCTGTCTCTTCTGGCCTCCTTTATCTGCTCCTACGTTCTTTTAATTTAAAAACATTGTTCCAACAGTTTCTGTGGGTTTTTCCCCCTCCTCATTAGGGTGGATCATTCTGAATGGACTGTTTGATTGCAGCGCTGAGTTGACCCGCTTCAGTTAACCTGACAGGCAGTGCAGCTCTAATTTTATCTCCAGGATTTGTGTCTGATTTTTCTCTTCGAGATTAAATGTTTTGTGTGGCTTTTTTCCTTTGAATAAATTTTTCGATATCATTGTTTGCTTGTGTTCTTCAGCACCGTCTGTGATGTTTTGGACCATTTATTGTCTTCCTCAGGTCTCAACATGTTAAATGTTCAATCTCATGACGGGATAATTGGGAAAATTACTGGAGAAAACCTTTTCCCTCTGAAAGCAAAATAACATATCTTATTGTGGGTTTGAAATCATGATGCAGCATCGACCCTTTTTCCTGTGCACTCAGATTCTTTCCTTCTCTCCTGTTTTTCCAGAGCCGTACGCCCCGCGTGACCCGACTCAGCCCAACTCAACCGGCTCTCGCAGACCAGGCCAGCAGGGTTTCTTTTGCCTCAGCTGAAAATCTGGAGACCATGTCCGAACCCGACATCCCCATCGGCTTCAACCGGATGAACCGGCTTCGCCAGAGTCTTCCACTGGCCCGCTCGTCTAGCCAGGCCAAACTGCGGGCACCAGGTCGGGCCACTGTGCTTCTGTTAAATCGGCATCAGAAAGTTCCATATTTTTAGTCCTCATGTTACTAAGCACGTAAAGGGCTTAGTCTCAATGAACTTGTTACATATTGAAGCTTGTAACAGGAAGTATGGCTTGTCTTCACACATTAAAGGAGAAGGCATATACTCAAGAAGATGAGAGCGGAGCTTGGTGTAGCTGCAGTGAAATGAACCACAATACTACTGGAATAAAGCACAGATGTTTGGTCATAATCCAAAGTGCAATGTTAAGAGACAATTAATTGCAGAACACAACACAAACCACTTAAATTCTGTTGTGTTGCAGTAAATGGACCTTCCAGTAATTCAGTCGTCCATTAAATTCCTTTGTATTCCAAATTATTCTACAGTCAAATGTGAGGCCATCTGTTTAACAGCTGATGCTTGGAAATAACTGGGAAATGGGCTGAGAAGAGAAAACTAAACTGTTTGTGTATTTGAACATCCCCTGCTGTAGATAAATTGAAGACCCCTCTGATATTTTTGACTTAACTCTCTGTGGAATCCTTGCAGCAAATTTAGAAGTCCCTGTGAGCAGACAGTCATCCAAAGGTTTCACGAAATATTTAACCAGATTTAAAAATGATTTTTCCAGTTAAGTCAACTGTAAGTGGCGATGAGTTTGGTAGTTATCACTAATTGGGCTTGAACTTTATAAATGTTCGTACTTTGAAGACTGGATCCTACAAATCCTTCTTTAAGTTGGTCTTTGCTCACTTTATTCAGGCTGACAAGTTCTTCTTGGTATCAGCTAAAGTTGGTAAGATGTGACGTGTTTTAATGCCAACGATCCTGCAGCATAAGTTGCCTTGACCAATCAACAGCTTATCACACAAATTCCCCCCTGGGCTAAATGTGAATTATGGATTTTATTGACAGCTTAGTTCTGTTTTTTGAATACATACCAGTCTGTCTTCAAATGATCCTGTCAGGCCGTGTGTCGTATCTGATTAATGGCTTCGTCAAAAAGAAAATTCATCTCTAGAACAACTCCCCTCCAGCATCTGAGGAGGAGGACGGTGCAGCATTTTGTTAGACTGAAACAGTTCAGTTATTGTGATTTTTGTTTTTTTTGTTGTTTTGTTAGCATGTATGTCAAGACCATTTTCTAAGCAGTTTCTGACTGTGACAGCTATGATGCTTTAACTGAATAATTCATTTCCAATGCTACAAACCAAATGTCAGTTTGTGGCAGAGCTTCTGAGGCCTAAGCTTGCTCTAAATCACACCAAAACAAACTCAACATATTTTATGTTGGGATTACTAAAATTGAAAAGATAAATTAGGTGATTTTTTTTTTCTCTGCCTCCTGGTTCTCCCTCATTGCTTCTCCTCCTCCCCCATCTTTGCAGGAATCCTCTTCCTCCAGCTCGGGGAGGAAATTCGCAGGGTGCACCTGACCCATGAGCTGACCAGCCTGGACACCCTGAGGGCCCTCATTGTTCACATGTTCCCCCAGAGGCTCACCATGGCCATGCTCAGGTAGGCACGGATGACTCACAGATATGAACACATTATTACCACATTGAGATGTTTATCGATCTGTTTAAGATGACGCTTCAACCTCTGCAGCGCTACATTTACACTTCATTTAGTTCCATTTGTATAAATCAATCTCAGATCAGGAGGCTCACAAATACAAAAACAACGATGAGTAAAATGAAAGTTTATCGGGCTAAGCCTTTAAGCAAAGGTTTAAGCAAACCTTATGTTGTGGCACATGGGCAAAACCAATGAGTGAAACGGTCACTGGGACTGACTAGTATATATTCCATTGAGGGAATGTAACTTTAACATATTAATTTCTCATATGTTAACATAAAGGCCGTTTTGAAGTATAAGCTGCTACTTACAGGCATCGCTTCGAAGAATTCAACCTGGAATGCGGCGTTCATAACAGACACGTGTGTTCATCTGCTCTACCGCTAGCAAACAACCGTACTGATTAAATAACATAAAAGTCAAGCAGTTCCCTAAAAGTCCAACAGATGGCAGCAATGCGCCATGCAAAACAAAACACCCACAGTTAACAGGACACACTTCCTGCTAAAGAGCCCCCTGGTGGCTGAAGAAAAATCCACTTATAAACCGGAAAATACAACAAATGAAAAAAAAAAAATCTGAATGCTGGTATTGTTCAGGGGGCCGGACCAAATGTGGAGGCGGGCCGGATCCGGCCCGCGGGCCGTAGTTTGGGGACCCCTGGTGTAAACTGACAAAATGATGAACAAAGGCTTGATGCCATCCTTCTCCAAACAATGTGATCAAAACAACATTTCCATCAAGATGTTAATTATAGATCGTCTGTGTAATCTGATGACATTTAACCATTGCAGACTTAGCATTACATTTCTGATGCTAGGAGGCAGTTCTCAGTTAATTGTTTCATTACAGGCGCCTCAAGCAGGTAAAGATCTTTCATTTATCTGTGAGTGAATCTTCATCACTGTGCATTAGCGACTAACTGGGGCTCAAATTGTCTTTCCAGGCATTGTTTACCATTGATTTTCATTTTTTTTTTCATGATTATTGATCTGCAGGTCCCCCAGCACAGCTCTACTAATCAAGGATGAGACCCGTAACGTCTTTTATGAGCTGGAGGACCCACGGGATGTCCAGGACCGCTGCGTAATTAAAATCTACTGCAAAGAGCCCATCTACGGCACTTACCCTGGACACCACAATCCCCACATCGCCAACGGAGACTTGAGAGTAAGTGTTCAGTCGACCAAATTATTAAAATATTGACGGTTTTACGCCAACATTGTAATCAACATGAATATTTCTCGGCTAACAGAATATTGTGGCGGCACAGAACCATCCAGATTGAGTAACAATTAGCACTAAAAGTCAGAATTCCCCCTACTCAAAGCTCCCTTATCCCCCGCTGCGTCACTGTTTACAAACACTGCTTGGTGTTGCGTAATGTCTCAGAGCTGAATTGGTTTGCCTCCATTGTGAATCACGTGACCTTTTTCCTGGACCAGTTCCAGGCTGTCACATCTTCGGCGCTGACTTGGCTGGACGCCAGCACACTACAGAAGAAAACACTGTTTCACAATGACACACGAGCAGACCAGCTTATCTTACCTCACGAATCAAAATGTTTGTATTCCTGGACCTGAAATGTGCTTGAATTAAATGCGATATACCTATTCTGGAGAGAAGGGGAAGGCGGGCAGTAAATTACCAAGGACCGCAAATGCATTCGGGACTGTAGCCTCACCATACACTGAGCCATGTAGAGCCTTCAGTAATACATACTTCCATTTTTTTTATTTTCAGTATTACTCAAAATGCTGGTTGTATGAAGTGCAACAAGAGCCGGTAGGCGACTCGGTCCCTTCTCCATCCTCCCCATTCACTCAAACAGGGGCCACTAGAGCTGAGAAAATATTAAGGTATACACGCAGCAAATAATAGCCTGGTTATCATAATAACTGGTCTTTAAAATCCTGCCTTACATGTGTTGCTTACAAATGACACAGTGGGGAGAAAAAATAGGTATGTGGCACACTGCTGGCTGACTTTTCAATGTTTTACACTTTTCCATATGAACAATTAGAGACGTGTGTAATTTTCTTCATGGGTACATCTGAACTGTCAGACGATCTAAAAAAAAATATCTGGAAAAAAATCGCATTGCATAATTTATTTTCATAGAAATTAATTAGATTAAATTAATTAGAAATGTATTGCATGAAATAAATATTTTATCACCTACCAACCAGCAAGAATTCTAGCTCTTACAAACTTGTTCATCTTTACAACATCCTGCTATCCTCATTAAATCATTATGTGTATTAAAACAACTTGTTCACACACTCGGTCTGATTGCATTGCTTCCTCTGTAAAGAGGACATCAGGGTCAAAATTGTAGACTTGAGAGACGGACTATGCCAGTTTGTGTATCCATTCAGCCAACCAGCTATCCATCTTACTTTTCATTCAATTATCCTTCTATTTTTCTGTCCAGCTGTTGGTTTACTTGCATATCTAATTTTTAGTTCTCTGCAAACCTACACTTTAATTGCTGTCTTATGAATGACCCACAAAAAAAAAAGTTGGCTTTAAACTCATTCATCTTTTATGTGTTTAAATAAAACTGGGACAACTTGAGCCATTACCAGCAATTACAGAAGTATTTAATATTTGCTGTTCTTACAGGAAGAAATCAGTTCTAAACAGATGAATGACATTGCAGAGAGGCAGACATATGCTGTGCTCACTCAGTGTAAAGTGAATCTGCATGTTAAACAGCTGAAGTGAATTAAGAGCTGAAGGCGAAGAGTGTTTGCTGAGTCCTATGCAGCCGAACAGCTCCGAGGCTTGTTGTTTACATGCCTGTGTGTCTGATTCCGTTTCTGCCTGCCGCTGAGGTGCAGCTGCCCGCTAATGTTCTGGAGGTCAGCTGTTCCCACGGGATCCGCCGCCGCCTTCAGCTCTGCTCTGAAATCTTCAGAGCGTTTTACAGCCTTATCGAACAGGCAGCTTTGCCTCGAGTTTTATGTGTGTAAAGTACATTGGCTACTGCTCCTGTTGTCAAGGTGAGGACTGAGAAGTTTGTGTGTGTGTGTGTGTGGGGGGGGGTTTATTGAACTCCTGACTGTACAGCTCAGATTATTCCCTGATTGCAGAGCACAAAAGCATGACCAAGACTGCTGAGGCCAATCCAGGCCCTGTGCCTGGAGGGCAGGAGATGGTTGGGAAGAAGATTGATTGGTAGATTTTTCTCACAGAGAGAACGGCCAGCTTTAAAACGGCTCCACAGGACAAACTTTTGGGACTGCAGACTACATGGGGGTAATAAGATGTCGGTATGTCCTCAGCATAGTTAAAGAGAGTAGCTGTTGCTAAGATACAAGATAAAATATGATGTCAGCTGTGAGACTATCCTCAGGGTGTTGTTGCAGGAGTCCTCTGGGTTATGTGGAAATATTGGCGTTTCAATTTGCATAGTCTCCTGGAGACAGCTTTGTGCGTCATGAGCAATTACAGTGTTGTCTTCTTTTGTTTTCTTGCCTCATCCATTACTTTTGTCTACTAAGCCTGTGCTGATTTCAGAGCTGCTCATCTTTCATTGCTTTCCTCTCTGAAATTTAAGACTGATGCCAAAAGATGTCCTTTGTATTCTCAGTCAATAAACTATCAGTTGGAAGAGGCAGTTTGGTGTTCCCTGTTGATCAGAAAGTAGCATCCATGAAAGTTACGGTGAACTCAGACTTGCTGTAAACTGTGATGGTGGTATTATGAGCAGTTTTCATTCATTTTAATGGACAAAATTGTATGATGTTTCACAATTGCTTGGAAAATAGAGTACTGATCTTGAAACAATTTTCCTCTCACCTACTGTTGCAGATCATAACACACTGAGCTGTATTTCTGTCCAGTTTATGAGGAGACTTCCTAATTATCAGTATCTTTGTTTTAATTTTTTTCCTCAGAGGGAAATGGTGCATGCGCCCCAGGACTCTCCATCAAACCGTCGCCTCGGTAACCCCGCCATGTCCTCCCAGCATTCGTCATCCTCTGCTTCACCTCCTCAAGGCTCGCCGTCCCGTGCCCGTCTGCTATACAGCTCCGGGAGGCCTTCGTCCTACGCGGGGCCGCCCCACCACACCCACTCCCTGCCTCACCCGCACTCCCAGTCCCACCACTCCTCCCCCCTCCAGCAGCCCCAGCTCCACCAGCCCCACCACACCCAGCCGGCCTTCTGTACCTCCTCCAGCGCCATCCTGGAGCGCAGGGATGTGAAGCCTGATGATGAGGTGGGCGGTTCCAGGAGCATGGTGCTGCTGCGAGGAGATGGAGGTGGGATCTACGCAGACCCGTACGCGTTGGGCCCAGACACGAGTCGGCTGAGCCTTGCGGGAGGTCCTCACTCTCCTCTGCCTGCCCGAGCCGACCCCTACGCCTCCTTATACCGCCGCGGGGGAGGACCAGGTCCAGGATCAGTTCGGTCGCTCACCTCTTACTCTGCTGCAGCGTTACAGGGAGAGCTAATGGAAAGCGGCGTTCTCTACAGGACCGGGGGGCCACTGTACAACGACGCCTACACTGCTTCCATGCTGGCAATGGGTCTGAGGGTTCCACCACCCTCTTCTCCTCAGAAGATACCTGATATGAGGGATTCCTACGGGGGGACTATGTCCACTCGCGGTTCTCCAGGGAGGCAGAGTTTAAGAAGGGACTCCGTCACCTCCTCTGTGTTTGGCGACAGCCCCAAAGTCCGGGGCCAAGGTCCAGGGTTGGGTCTGACAGCAGAGCAGCTCTGCCTGATTGGTGGAGGCGATGGAGGAGGCAGCACTGGAGGCTTTGGGTCACCGCTGATGGGGAATGAGACTGAGACCAGGTAGGATGGCGCATACGGAGCCAGTTCAGATTCATGTCGTGTGCAGAGGAAAAGGTAGACTGCATTCATTGCTTTCTCTAACAATACGTGATATGTGTTACTTCAGTCACTGATCCTTACACTGGGGACTAATATTTTTCTGGTCGTTTCAGAAAACGAGCAGATGTATCAACTAATATTTAGTTGATACTTAATGCAAACAGTATCAACTGTTTGCATTTAGTTTCCGTGCGTTTGGCGGTAATGTTGCGGAAATGTCTAGCCACTGTGTGGTTGGAAGGATTAATATTCATCTTAGGTCAGCTCTCTTCGACCATCTCGTTTCACAGCTCCTCTTAAGGAGAAATCGCTGCATAACAGCTGCTCTAATCTGCTTGATGGGCATTTTATTGAAAGGATTCAACACCTGTCTGATTTGATTCCGGTGTTTGATGTTTCAGAAGTTTCTCTTTTAAATTTTGAATCCAACTTGTCATCATTACTTGGAGTAATCCCACTGAGTAAGTTAGATTTTGTCTCTGCTGTAAGTATGTGAAAACAAAAACTTGATGGAACGCACATTTCAATGAAAACATGGCTAATGTTACTTGGCCAGGTAAAGCTGTCGGAGAAATTTGGAAAATGCCAACTGTACCCTTCATGACTATTTTTACATGGTATTAATAATTGATTTATCTGATTTTTTTTTTTTTTTTTTTTTTTAATTAATGTACTTCTGGTTAGTTGCTTACATATTTACTTGGCACGCGGCACATTTTTTTATTTGCTGCCTCCTCTTGTCAATCGTACAAATCTGTGTTTTGGTTTTGTAGGTGGGACATTTAAAGATGTCTCCAGACAGATCAGATGTTGAACTACTTGGAGTACATGAGCATGAACATCACTGTAAAATTCATTGCACTGGTATTTAAAATTTGATTTGACAAGTCTAATGCGAAAATGACCTTTTTACTATATTTTGCTGATATGGATCTGGTCTGCTTAACTTATTAATATACAACATTTATTAGGTGCACATTGCTTGTGCCAAGTTGGACCTCCTGTTGCCTTCAGGACTGCCTTAAGTCTTCATCACTTAGAAATGAACAAAGCATTGCTCTTCACACCACTCCTGCTCATGTTCAGCGTGAAACCATTCTGAGATTGCTGTGCATCAAAATTTCCAGTAGACCAGCAAATTTTGATATTCTTGTATCTGCTCATCCTGCACCAAGGCACTTTGTATTGTCTTGTTGCTGAAAATGTGCTATATAAATAAAATTACCTTACCAACAGGTATTTATTTTTTAACAAATTTCTAAAAATATGAGTATTCTCACAGTTAAGACCTGGGCTCAACTGTGATTAACATGAAAAAATCAACTTTTTTTTTTTTTTTTTTACAGAACTCAAAACAAAACAAAAAACCATCCATTAATTCCTTAGCTGCTTGTGTATGGTCAAGACAGATTACTATTCAGATGCCAAACATAGATTAGTGTCCTGTAATGCATGTCCTTGTTTCTACAGTGAATCTGTGATGAATTTAATGCATCGGTATCACCTTGGTAGATAATTTCGTTGCAGCAAGTGCTCTTTATAAAATATGCATGAAATGTCTGTTAGTTACAATATCTTCTGGATTTGTGGTCTGAATCCAGGGAGCGAATGGAGGCGATGGAGAAGCAGATAGCGAGCCTGACGGGGCTGCTGCAGAGAGTACTGACCAGAGCGCCTGAAGCTGAAAGTCCGTAAGTGAAACATGCTTTTGCAACGAAAAAAAAAAGAAAAGCAAGCGTGTGTGTTTACATTAACCTTTGACAGGAATAAATCTGTACTTAACATGTGATGGAACATGTAACGGATCCTTATCGGCTTTGTTTTGCCAGGAGAACTTTTTTTTTTTTTTTTTTTTTAATAAAAAAAAAAGAAAAAAAGAGAAAGTTTTTCCCCCTTTCAAAAAAAGAAGGCTGTTTACATGATTTGTTGATGATACTTGGACTTTTCCGTCTTGCAGGGAGAAGCTCGAGTCGGCCAGTGACTGTTCAGGAAATGACCGTAAGTAATCCCTGCTTCCACCTAGTCAAACCTCCAGTGCTCATCGCTGCAACCTCCTGCTGGCCACATAAATTAGCTTTTCTTTCTTTCAGAACAGCCGCCGTTTCATTTTTATCTGCTTATGTCACATGTGATTGTTTTTAATGGCTGTCTTCTTTATTTTTGTCTTATTGTATTGCTGGCTTTCGCTCTTGCTGCTTTGTAACTGCTGCTCATTTTGTTTTAGCTGGACAAACTAAAAAAAAGAAAGGTAGCTACAGTTTGTGTTCCTGAAGTGTCTGAAACGTGTTCCCCTGTCTGCCCAACCCCTGAGTCCCTCATTATTATCCTTTTCTTGGAGATCCATTTGCTTCCAAATGGTCTACATAATTTCCATGTGTTGTCTTAAAAAGACCTGCCTCTCTGACAACTGTTGTCTTTCAAATTTTCCTTGTTTTTTTTGTGTGTGTTTAAGGTAGAGTTCATGGAGTTGCATTAAATTGACTCAGAGTTTTGTGAGCTTCTGCCTTTTTTTTTGTTGTTGTTTTGAGTGTTTGGTAAATATTACAATATCCACTGATTTTTATGGTTAATTTGTTGCAGTGTAGTTACAATTGCATCTCAATAAATTCTTTCATCTGTCCATTTACCTGTCTCTTTACTTCCGTTCCTCGCCAGTCTATTAATTCACCCATCCATCTTGTAATTTTAATCCAACCATCTTCTAATTTTTATTTATTCCATCCATTCTGTAACTTTTATCTACCGGTTCTGTCCATCAGTCTATCTGTAAATATTCCTGTCTCTCCCATCGGATTCATTTCTCAGTTTGTTCATCCATCCATTTTGTAATTGTAACTTTTCTGTTCATCTACACTTCAATCCATCTGTCAGCCTGCTTATAATCATCCATCCATTCTAGACTGATGGTTGTCAGAGTTGACACCTATTAAACACAGCACATAACGCAGAAAAGACAAGAGAAAGTTAGATTCTGAATACTCGCGAGGAGAACAGACAGAGATGTGCTTTCAGTTACAAATCTCCTACTGCTCTGAAGCACATTTGCCTGCCCCTCTCTTTAGGATCCCTAATCACAGAGAGCGCTGTAACTCTAAAGGGAGGGGGAAAGACACTTCATCACACAGTCACAGCGCCAGATTATCACTAACTAACAACACAATCTATCTCGCACTAGCTTATCCAGTTCCTGACCCAGGATCAAGCAGGACAAGTTGTACATCTTCACGGCGATGGTTTTATAGCTATCTAAGAGGTCAAAGCAGGGCGTTCTGTGAAGAGCTGCTGTCACTGCTCTTCTTCAGAGAGGCCCTCTGAGAAAGGAAATCAGAGTGATTAACAATACAGAAACATTTCTTAAAACATATGACTAAAACAAATAAGTAAGAATACATAAACTAAGAACATAATAAAGATATAACAAATAGTTGATAATAATACAATTTACCTAACAATGGTCAATAAGAAAAATGATCTTGGCTCAGGCTGTAATCTGTGGACTCTTTGTTTCTACTTAATCTAAAATATTTCAGTTCTGCATCTTTATCTGGAGCACTGAGGCCTCAGACAGAAATTTGATGTTTCTCTCCTTGTGCGTCATGATTTATCAGACGTCACAGTGGCTTCAGCTCTTCTTTGTGTAGCTTTTATCATAGAAAGTTTAGTCAGTTAGACAATGTCACCTTGCCTGCAGAGACTTTGTGACTGAAGTGTTTAAAATATTAATTTGATTTCAGACCTTGCTTCATTTTTTAAATTTTTTTTTTTAGGTTTAAGTTAATTAAAGTCAGCTTAAATGCAACTCTGTTCTGACTTTCTGTGTTCCTGTTCTGCATGATTCATGTAACCCAACACACCAATTACTGTGGGAGCTTAGCTGTCATTGTCATTTCAGAGGATTATCAGATTTGGAAGCTCTCATGCATTTCGGTTGTCTCTGGACGTTGTTATAACGAGACACTTGAAAATGTTCTTCATTATTGACCTATTTGTCCCTGAAGCCCTCCCATGTTTATTGTTCTGCGTCCCCTCCTGACCTTCAGCACTGATGGATGTTGTCCTGTTTAAATATTTCTAGCAGCAGTGTTCTGCTTCCAGTAGATTAACCTATCGTGATTTTAACATTTAATCTTTAAATCTTTATTTAAAAAAATGAATAAATTCTTTGGGACTATTTCTATCAGCTCTGAATTTTCCCTCAAATGAGCCAAAGCATAAAGGAGCGTTCGCTAAACTTGCATTTTTGTTTGCGTTGATCAGCTCTCACACCATCTGCTCCCCTGGCTCTGATGCCACCTCCATGTTCGGGGGCCAACCAGCCCGTAGCCGTGTCCCGTATGCAGATGCAGCTCCACCTCCAAGGCCTGCAGCAGAACACCAATGCCCTGCGCAAGCAGCTGTCGCAGCTGCGCAACATGCAGGTGTGGTTGTGGACTGAAAACAGCTGTTCAGTGTTGGGACTCCTTTTTGTTGCCAGTTCTTAAGTACTGTAACACAGTTACAAAACTTATGGAATAACATCATTGGGTCAATATTAAGTAAATAAATGAATGTGGAAACATTCAATGATGATTAAATAATAATAAGTTTCATTTTGTTTGAATGAGCAAAACAAAAATACAAAAACATTTAAAATTAAATTGAGAATGTATGGGGGGGAAAAAGTCATAATTACATAAGACTGTTAAATTTATTGTTGGGTTACTTTTAAAATTCCTTATAAAATTGAGCAGCTTAAAATTAAAACTCCTATAGTCCTAATACTATATATCTTTGGACCTCGTACATCTTGCACAAAAATTCTGTTTCATCTTCAGGTCTTGCAAAAACCAGTCAGTTCCTCCCTCCGGCTGTCTCTGGTTAACACAATGAACACTTTTCAGCCTGAGTACTGCACAATGAAACAAAACAGTCAGGTTTGCACTACCATAAGATGCCTTAAAAAAAATATATAGACACTTTCACTAACGAATCAGAATTTAAAGCACCTAATGGAATGGGTAGAGCTCGTCTCAGGAGTTACTACTGCTATAAATATTTATGCTTTTAAGAACTGACATTTTTTCCTAATTTGTAGTCTTTTTTTATTATTACTTAAAATACTCAATTTCTAAAAAAAACTAAGTAAAAAGACGTGTTTTTTCAGCTGGAGAACCAGGACTCCGTTCTGTCTCTACTGCGTCAGACTGAGTCTGAGCTGAGCCTCATGATGCTGGACGCCATGCGACCCCAGGAGGACCCGCTCCAAAGACAGCGGCTCCTAGTGGAAGAGGAACGGCTGAAGTACTTGAACCAGGAGGAGCTGCTCATCCAGCAACTGCAGTGAGTTCAGAGCACAAATGACAGTTTGATCAGAATAAAAAATGCAAATAAAGAAATGGAAAGCGTTATGTTAAGTCCATATGTCTGATTTGAAATTGTTTTTATTGGTCTGATTTAATATTCTAATTTTAAATGACAAGCTTTTATTAGCTGTAAATGGAAAATTATAATTAACAGAAATAAGTTTTCAAGTATACATCGGAGTGTAAATGTTTATCATGAGTTTCACTCGGTGACAAAACTTCCTGAAATGACACCCCACAACACTTGTAGTTATTTTGGCAGCAAATGGGGATTCTACAAAATATTTACTAAAAAAGGGGTTTTACTTTTTTTTCTTTGGGATTTGTGGGGGGTTTAAATGGAGTCACATGTTGAAGTTTTATTTCCAGAATTCCTTAAATGAAATGTTGAAGAAAATATTTTTATTTTTAGATGCTGACGAAACATGTTAACGTTCAGATCTGAACATTTATGACTTTTATTTCATTCTGTTGTGCAGGGTTTAGTTTAATTAGTTGCAGGCATGTTTGTTTTCTCCTTTTTTTTTTTTTTTTTTGCATGTCTCAATGATTATGAAGCCCCTGGAGAGTCAACGGTGGCTGTAGGTTCTAATTAGTTCCTTTTCTGTGTAAACCCAGATGTATACAGTAATTGCTGAACACATAGCAACTGGTCTGTAAAAGAATTTTTTTTTTCTTTTTGGTCCGTTGAGAAAATCATGTTGAATGTTGTGGAGGTCTCGTCTTAAACACTGAGCCACATTTATTCCTGAGGGTATTTGTTTTTGTTGTTTCACAGCGACCTGGAGAAATCTGTTGAGGAGCTGCAGAGGAACTCGTCTGTCAACCACGGCCTGGTGACGGAGCAAGAGGTGGAGCAGAAGAGCAAAGAGCTGAGGATGTTGGGAGAAACTCTCGCTGAACTCAAAAGTAGGTGCAGCTTTGCAAATCGGTTGCTTTCTAAACCCAGTGGATGTTCAGGATCCAGCTGAGGTTGATAAGAGAGTATCATGATGAGTGAAAAGAAGTGCTGTAGTCTATTGCAGCGTCTTAAAAGTTTTTTTTTTTTTTTTTGAAAGGTACTTTAAACTGGTGAGACTAATCCTATGGAATAACATAGTCTTATAAATATTCAAAATGAAATATGAAATGACATGTTGGTTTTAGTTGGAGGTTGTGGTTCACGTGTGAGCAATTCAACATTAATATTTATGGCTCTTCCTACCATTTAATTGCTGTTCATGAAGTTTCAGCTTTGGCCTCTTGCCTTGCTGCCCTGACCTGTGTACTACTCTCTGTTCACTGACTATTAATGAGTTATTTTGAAGCTCAGTGGGGTTCATTATAGCGGAGTGTTATATCTGAACACTTGTTACCATGTCCAACAGATCCTACAAATGTGAGGAAGAAATTACCCTGAAAAAAAAAGCGAAATCCAAATATTTAAGAGTCGTCTGTTTGGGATGACTGAAATTAGCTTTGCCAAAGTTAGTGGATAAAGTGAAGGTGAGCTCTGTTCATTATTATAAGATAGACAGATATTCACAAAGCTCTGGTACCTGAACAGGTAAGGTATCCCATTTCAGCTATCTATCTGCTGAGATTTGTTGGACTTTAATAAATACTCCAGAGTTCTTTCTTTCTCTTATCAAATCCTCGGTTACCGCAAGTCCATTCCCATTTCTTTGAGTCTTGTTTACTTACAACTAAGCAAACTTCTCAGACAGAACTTGTCGCTGGGTGAGAGGATTGTCTGAATTTCATTCCCTGCCCCGTTAGCTTTTTGACTTGATCTTGAATTAGCTGAAGATGACGAATGGATGGATGTTGTTGGGTTTCAAAGTAAATAACTTCCACAGAGACAACCATGGGATGAATCTGTTTTTAAAAATTTGGAGATGCAAAGCTGAGATGGTGCTGACTGCATTGTATGTTTTACTGAATACGATGCATACATTGAAAAAGTAATGTGTGATTGGATTGTTACAAATGTGAAAACAATCCAATTGCTTACATTAATGATGGCCAAGTCGATGTTAATCATCTCTGAGATTTTGGCTATTGATTTTGATATCCTGGTTTTTGAAGAACTTAAAAGCACCTATCCTAATCTAATTACTGATTTATACAAAAATCAAAAAAAAAAAAAAACGATATTAATTGGTGAGACCTCATGTTGTTTAAATTTCTAATTAAAGTAGGCCAAGAATACAAGCCTGCTCTACCCTTTTCTAATAACATGACGTACGGGTTTCTCTCTTCATTTATCTCCTCCCCTTCTCTTCCTCAGACCAGTTCCCCAGCCTGCAGAGTAAGATGCGAGTGGTACTGAGGGTGGAGGTGGAGGCTGTTAAGTTCCTAAAAGAGGAGCCTCAACGCCTGGAAGCTCTACTGAAACGCTGCAACACCATGACTGATGCTCTCAGCACACTTCGCAGGTATTCACATCAAATGCTCCACTTGTTTTTTTTTATCAGATGGTTTCTTACTTTGATGTTAAACCAGTTTGGCTCTTGCAACACATTTCCGAATATGGAGCTTTTGTGCGTTTAATTTGAAAGCAACCAAAAAAAAAAAAGAAGTGGAACCATATCAAAATTATGCCCACACACAAAAGTAGAGTATGGAAACCTTACTGTTTCCATAGTAGTTAAAGGAAAAGTAGTCTGCCATGTGCAGATGAAAACATATATTATATCAGTGGTTCCCAAACTTTTTCTCCTGGTTCCCCCCAGTGGTTTCCAAACTACTTCTGGGCCCCTGTTCTATCAGATAGCCATACGATGTCAGGATGGCCTACATGCAGTTAGTACGCATGCCCGCGCATTAAGAAGTCCGACCGTCAGTGGAGTTGTCAGTTCAGCATACGCAACAAGTTATGACGAAAATAAGTCATTAAATTGTTTTCATTGATAACTGTATAGATATACATGTGTTGTCGTGGTTTCAAAGTGTATTTAAAGCAGGTCTGGCTGCAGTGAACTACAACACACGCCCGTGTAAAACTCATTAACCTACTTAACCGCTAAGTCAGGATGCCACACAGCCGTTCATAACAAAGTGTATGATGATCTACGTCATGATTCTATGTTGCTGATTAAATAAAATCATATGGTAATGACTGCTTATACATGTCAGAGCTAAGCGTAGGACTATCTGGCAATGTAGGCTGATCTGACAGAACACCCTCACTATGGATTACAAATAGTAGCTGTCTAGTTGAACGACGTGTGTGAGCGAGGTGGGGGGGGTATGGGGGGCCGTTTAGGACAAAATCTACGTTTTGTCTCTCACACACTACCAAAAACTCACGCACACTCAAAAAATACTCAAATTGCGTATACACACTACTAAAATGTCACACGCACACAAACGT